AAACCTAAGCAGTTTAATTTAAGCTTTATTGTGCCAAACTTGGTTTGCAAGTCATTTAAATCTCAAAAACATCTTGTAAAGAGTTAAAAAAAGAATGAATTTTTTATTTATGAATTTGCTGTGGCTCTACAGTTCCTGAGGTATTTAAATGGACCCTTGTGTCAAAAGGTTTTGCCAACGCTGGAAAAGATAATCTATAATACAAGCTATAAAAATAATTCAAGCAATAATTAATTTCTGTAGTCGCTCTTCTTAATCAATTAGTTTTGTAAACTTTCAGTGAAAAAGTCATTAGAATATAATAAAAATAAATGGTTTAGCATTTTTCGCATCTTTCTTTCCTGATTTTTAAATTACCTTGTTGCATTTTTAATTGTCTAATAGTAAAATTACATAATTAAAAAATGCTATAAATTGCATTTTATGTGAATTTGTGCATCCGTTTTATTATTTTGTTAACATTGTTTTTATTACAGTATTTATTAGTAATTTTTATATTTTTATACTTTTCTTCAATGTTTTAGAGGTTTGCTCATCAGGTTCTTGCAATTCTACAAACATCGAAAAGTGTTTTTATGTTAATTCCAGTTATGCAGTTTGCACATGTCAAAATGGCTATTACCCAATAAATGACCAATGTTTTGGTATTCTTGTTAAACTGTAGTATTAAGTTATAACTTTTTTTTTTGTTTAATTTAAGTTCATTAAAAGTTTTAATTAAATTAGGTTATTCACTAAAAAACTACTTAGTTTCTAACTGAAAAAGGAATTACATTCTGTAGAAATCAGGTTTAATGTATATGGCGATTCCAATAAAACCCTTTATATATGTACACATGCAACAGAACTCAGAATAATATGCTCCATAATATATTTAGAAAATTTTTAAAATTTTGGAAATTTTTGCAAGCTAAAGGGAGATATAACCTGAAATTATACCCCTGTATAAATATGTAAATTATTTCTGTTACAAATGTTGTTATTATTGCCAAGAAATGCAGTTTCACCTCATAAAGTGATATAATGTATTCATATTAGTAAAGAATTTTATAAATTATTTTAATAAAGCGTTGTAATTAAAGTTCTGTGCATAAGACGTAATAAGTGTACATTTTTTGCTCTAAAAAAATTTGATTTCTATTGTTAAAGATAACATTATACTTTTGTATTTCCCATAAAAAAAAAAAGTTTTAAGACAATTTTGTTCACCTCCAAACCCATTTTATTTCCCTGGACCTTAAATTAAAGTTAATCAATCAATTTGATTTTTGTTAAAGAAATTTCTTGGTTTTATAGAGATGCTCCTGTAAAAAATAATACATGCTTAATTGAAAAATGGGTTGTTTATATTGCAAATAAAATTAAAAGATTTCAATTTAGTGTTTTTTATAACTTGGAACATGCATATACTTTGTACCATGTGTGTGTTATTATACCCCCAATAGGTTTACTTAGGACTTACTGTAAACATTAAACATTATTTTTACAGACCGTGTTGTATATATTGAAAAATCTATCCCTGAAGAATACAAGAAGAATTTCTATTATAATATTTAATATAAAAAAATTTAGATTAATAATAAAAAAAGATTTTCTCATTCCTGTTTTTTTTTTCAACTTAATAAATACTTATTTTGCACAAGTATTAACGTACTAAAAATTGCTTATTATGCCATATCTTAAAGCTTTTGACTACCATCAAAAGAAACTCACGTTTTTGTTTATATTAGTATTATTCTTTTAAAAATGTTCAAGTCCGATAATAAAATTTAAATGGTACAATAATAAAATTAAAAAAATTTTTTTTTTAGATATTAATGAGTGTTTATTTTTATGCAACTTTGCTAACAGCATTTGTGTTAACTTTGATGGTGGTTACAACTGTTCATGTAAAACATTTTGGCAGTTAGCTAGCAATGGTCTTAGTTGTATTGGTAACTAAAAAATTTTTATCTGCATTTTTTTTAAAATTAGTTTTATAAATGTTAAACGTATTGTGGAAAAAAAAAATTAAATCAGCATTGTTTTTCATTGTTAATAAAAAATGGAAGTTCATATAACTCTGTTGTAAAACATCACAACTATTTTTCAAATCGCTAGACAATATTGTAAATATAGTTTAATCATCCAAAAATATTAACATTTTGAAGAAGGGAACGATAATTTAACAAAATAAATTTTTTGTTAACTTACTCTAAATTTAAATTCATCACCATGTTTCCATTTTTTCCTTGTTTCACTACGTTTCATACAAATTCATCACCACGTTTTCTATTTCATTTAATAATCTTTTAGTGTTTAGTTGTTTTTTTTTAGTGTTGATATGAAATTTACAACTTCCCTCATTTTGGGTGATGCTGCTGCTACTGGAGTTAAAAAAAATACTTTTATAAGCTATAATCAAAGTGTTGCTCTAATAATACTGAAAATACTATTATTATGGTGGTGCCAAAGCATTATATATATATATATATATATATATATATATATATATATATATATATATATATATATATATATATATATATATATATATATATATATATATATATATATATATATATATATAAATATATATAAATATATATATATATATATATATACATATATATATATATATATACATATGTATATATATATATATATATACATATGTATATATATATATATAAATATATATATATATATATATATATATATTTATATATATTTATATATATATATATATATATATATATATATATATATATATATATATATATATATATATATATATATATATCTATCATAAACAAGATAAATTTTCTAATTTTTAAAACCATTTTTTTAATAAAAAACAATACATGTTTTGACTAACACTAGTCATCTTCAGTTAAAATTGAATATTTAGTGTTATATATGTATATATATATATATATATATATATATATATATATATATATATATATATATATATATATATATATATATATATATATATATATATATATATATATATATATATATATATATATATATATATATATGGTTTTTTAATCATATCATGAGATAAATGATTTTTAAAAACCTAAGCATGATTTTATTAATTTAGTAACTTCTTAATAACGCCAAATATGATTTGGTTTTTCTCGAATATCTGGCAATGTATAATTTTTTTAATTTTTTTTTATTTTATTTTTTTAAACATTTAATTATTTTATATTTTTAAATCTTTGAAAATAAGTTTTGGAAAAATATCAGAAAATCAACCAGCTTATTGTGTTAGTGGCTGGATGTAAATTACCAAAGTTTAATTTTTTTTAAATTTGTAACTTTTCAAAATACACAATTATGCAGAAAACAATATCTAAAGATCTAAAAATGCAATAACAATGAAATTTTGATTACAATGAAATTTTGAGGGTGTATTCATTATATTTTTATGCTGGAGTTATACTAATTTGGTTAAAAAATAAATCAGTTTACGAAGTATTAATCAACATGTCCACCACTTGACACATGCTACTGGTTGAATATAGTAAATTTACTTTTACTCCTAGTCTATATGTATTTAATGCACGATTTGACAAACATTATAACGTATAGTTCTATTTGATAAACAAATAGTTATATTTGACAAATAAGTAATACTTTTCGTTAAATAAATAGTTCTATTTACTAAACAAGTAGGACTTTTTGTTAAACAAAAAGAATTATTCATTGAATAAATAGTACTATTTAACAAATAATACTAATAGTATAGCCAATTTGTTTAGGGAATACAACTTCGCCCTTAACAAATTTTTTATACTATTGTTATTCCATTAACAAATGATACTATTTATTTAACGATTAGTACTATTTATTAAACTTTGCAACTAAACTTTAATGAACAGCTTCTCTTTATCCCCTATTAATTTAATGAAAAAACACTATTTAAAAGTGTTTATATTAATCAATGAGAAAACAATAAAAAAGAAAAAGATAATAAGTTCATATATGAAAACTAGTAGAAAGAAAAATGGGTTTATCTTTTACTCAACATTGGAACTGTTAAGTCTACATTTTTTAGTGCATAAAACCAATGTCTTGTTAATATCATTTTGGAGTACATAACTGATTGAAAAAGCACATTCTATGTAAATTGTTTGCACATTGAATCATAGAGTTATGAATTTTCTACACTAAAAAACTTTTTCTTGCTTACTTGGTATGTTTTTATTTGGTTTTCCATCTGTTGCTCAAACTTTCTCTATTGCCTCAGCTTCACTCAAAATTTCCTTCAATTCTTACATTGTTTCTTTTAAATTTGTTAAAATATTTATCAGATGCAATAATTTTTTGCATAAAAGTTTTAATTTTTGATTCTAATCTGTTTTTAAGTGTGGGTATTGTAATAATGTTCAACTAAAACACTTGAAAATGGTGTTGTTAGTGTTAATAATATTGACGATGAGCACTGTGTATTAGAGGATATTGTCAATTCTAGTTGTGGTACTAGCACTGATTTTTGCTAGTTCTTTATCCATGTTCAACAATCTTGGTTCTATGGTCTTTGTTCTACAATCTTTGTTCTACGATCTTCATTCTACAATTTTCACTCTAGAGGTATTCCATGAGAAAGTGGATGTGCATGTAACTCACCATCTCAGATTTTCTTCATACTTTGTAAAAATGGTCACCTATATAACATAGACTACCTTGCAAAATTTTAGAACTGGTATCAAAGGGGTTTTGGATATATATTTACTTTAAAATCAGCTATTTTTAGCAGTTTTTTCTGTTCGGTGCCCATTTTGATTTTACTATAGTTTTTGTTTTACAAGTTACTGTTCAACTAAACACGTAATTAAGCTGAAAATGAGCCCCAGTATAGTTTTTAGGGTGAGGAATTAGAATATAATATTTGTTTTCAATGAAAATATTTACAACTATATCAATATGGGGATTGTACTTCACCTACAGATATTTTTGAAATTTTAATTAAGGCAAAAAGGAGGCCTGGTAACATTTTTTCTTTTGTGATTTTTTTTTTTTTTTTATTAAAATAGATATTCTAATGAGTTTTTTGGTTCAAAATTGGTGGGTTTTTTGAAATTTTTTGTAAAAATATAGGAGTATTATGTGAAAAAATAAGTATTATAGGTCTGTGTTTATGATTTTTTTTTTAATTAGTTGACATTTACAATTTTCATTAGTCATCAAATATTATACAAAAGAAAACATTTTAACCTATTATTTAAAGAAACTTTAAATCAAATGAAATTTTCTTTTTAAATAAATTTTTGCTTTGTAATTAATGACATATTACGTCATATTTGACTATAACAGAAGAAAAACTCAATATTTAAAACCCAATGGCTTAGTCTGATTAGTCTGATATTTTACCAGCTTTTGTTTGTTGCTAATCATTAATTAAAAAAAAATTATAAAATCAAAGTTAAAAAAATAAATCATAATATCATATTTAAAAATACTAATGATAAATATTTTTTCCGTTTTTATAAATGTAAATATGTCTGTGTATTTTGTGTTTGTTTATTGCTAAATAAAAAATTAAAAAAAATAAAATTAACAAGATTTTGTATACAGTTGGTATTTTATCAAATGATCAATGTCATAAAATGGTGTACACTAAATCAATTGGATTGAAAGATTTATCAAGCTATTCAGAGAAAGATAGAAATTTATTATTATGAAGATCTGGGCTATCAATATTGAATGTTAATGTTAAAATCTGTTTACATCATGAACAAATTTTACTTATCTGGTTTGCTAACTCCCAAAAAAATTGCATTGACCCATTTAAAAAGCATAAAACTAATATAAATGGTAAATTTTTAAGTTTTTAACTTATTGTGCTGTCTTTTTACAAAAAATACATCTAGTACACTTTCAATTAGTTTAAAAAATTTTAATTTTTTATTTTATTCCTAACATTATTATATTATCTAAATTAATACTAATTTTGATGAATTTTATTCATTTATAATATATTTATAGGTGGTTTGCGAGAAATTTTCAACTGGCAAAAGATATGGTTTAAAAACTGGTTTTTTAAAGATATGATTTAAAAACTGGTTTACACCTGGTTTTAAAATGTTGAAAAGAAGTGTTAAAAAAAATAGATAATTGGTCTACCTTACAAGACCACAATGGTGAAAATGATTTTCTGGAACAAACATTTTCGGATGAAGATATAGAAATTGCACAAGAAAAAGAACTTATAAACACCAGTTTTGATAAATTAGATGTATCGCCAGTAATATTTCATGGTTCCACAACATGCTAAAATTTCTCTAGGAAAAAGAAAATTAATGCAAGTTACTGATGTATGTTATGTCAAAATTAATGCAAGTTACTGATGAATTTATGTCAAAAAAGCTATCAGTTATCCTCAATATTAATGCAACTGTCCTTAAAAAAGATGTTACTGGGGAGCCCAATGTTGAAAATCAGAAGAAAGCTGAAGATTTAGATAAATTGACACTTTCAATGCAATAAAAGCTGGAAACAGCAAATAGAAGAGAAAAGATTCAGACTTTATCATTGGTTCCAGATTCATGGTCTTTGAGGAAAGTAGCTGAAGTATTTAATATATCAAAGTCAACCATAACTAAAACAAGAAAGCTTAAATTTGAAAAAGGAATATTTACACTTCCAGAAAAAACTAATATTGTTAGAATTGAATCAGATATCATTAATAAGGTGGAAAACTTCTATTGTAATGATCAGTTTAGTAGGCAGTTGCCAGGTATAAAAGATTTTGTAAGTGTATCCAAAAACAAACATGTATCAAAGCAATTACTTCTTTGCAATTTAAAGGAATTATTTATTGAATTCAAACTAGACCACCCTCAATCCAAAATAGGATTTTCTAATTTGCTTAGTTAAATCCAAAATGGTGTATTTATGCTGGTCAAAAAGGAACCCATGCTGTTTGAATATGCGTAAA